ATTAGCGTCGATTTCCATCCACACCTAGCCTAATTCGACATGGCCATGTCGAATTTAGCGCTACTCCTCTCGTTGGGGAGGATTACAGAAATCGATTTAAAGAGAGCTCTATGTCGAACTAAATGGCTTCCTGGTGTGGACGGGTGCAGGGTTAATTCGATATAACGGCGCTAAATTCGACATAAAAGCCTAGTGTAGACCAGGCCTTAGAGGACACATGGCAGATAAAGCAAGGAATACAAGCTTTGCAAAGGAACTTCTTAAACACAGACCCTGTAGTCTTAGACAGCACAGGAGAGATTCAGATGTAGACAAAACAATGAACATCTGAATGCAGTTCACCACCTTTGCCTCCTTGGAGTTCTCATCCCTCCTGAGAGTCCTTGGGGCTTTGGCCAGTGTCCTAGAGGAACGACAAGGTGCCTCTTGCCCCGATGCCTCCAGCTATGTCTTGTCTTTCTGGCAGTGAACTGGCTCTCCTTCCTTAGAGAGCATGTCTCCTTTAAAAGCGGACTTTTCCTGACACCATGTCAGGTGGTGAGCTGGAGAAAAATTGCAGCTCTTTAAATCATGGGCCAAGATTGGGGAGTGGGGAGAAGGAAGGAATTCCAGCCTCCTCTCTTCTCCCCCTAAAAGGTCTCTGGGAAGAGGTAAGTCCATTCAAAACCCCATTGTTCAAACAGAGAAAGCCACTCACTGCTGATGGGGCCAGAGAGCCAACGCAGCCTTGATTGCCCCATTTCCCAAACATAGCTTCCTCCTCACACACCAGATGGATGATCTAATTCACAAGGACCATTACAGTCAAATACAAGTTTATTTACCAAAGCAGAGAGATCCTAATAGTAGCAAGTGGAAGCATTGGAAACAAATGGCTACATATAAAACAAAATCATAACATGCATTCTAGAACCTAGCCTTAATTCACAAGATACTCTCATGTCTTGTAAAATATTGCTCGCCTGAAATCCTTCTAGAGCAGGGGTCGGCAACGTTCGGCACGCAGCTCGCCAGGGTAAGTACCCTGGCGAGTTCCGTGTCGAACGTTGCCGACCCCTGTTCTAGAGTTTTACAGCCAGGCTGGTTGGGACCCTCCTTTCATGAGAAGAATGCAGTCAGTTGGCCTCCTTGGTGAAGAATTCAGTGTGTCTCTTGCACACCAAGATATACCAGGTCAATCCTTTATCTTTATTCATCAACAGGCCACCCCCACCCCTGCTGCTTGTTTCTCCTTCTTTTTTGTAGCTTTCACAGCCTCTCAATTCACACCTGGCTCAGTTTGCAAATAGACATCCACTGAGAGGCGCACAACACACAAATGGCCAGACAGGGAAATAGGTGTCTATTACCTTCTGTCTGAAAGGAACATCTCCGAGGTATGTCACTGCCTGGTGACCGGCTTTAACTCCAAGACCTTAAGAACATAATTTTTATTATAGATACATGACTCTTTAAATATTACCTGTACGTACATTGCACAATGACCGTGACAACCAGTAGGCTACTGGCTCTCGCTAGAGACTTCACATGCCACCCTTGGGTGAACTATTAGGCAGGTAGCCAATCCAGGGGATCCCTGTAAAATCCTGTGTTTCCCTGTGCCCTCTGCCAGCTGGCATCAAGGGCTCCCTGGGTCACAGGGCCCATGTTGTATACAGAAGATATACTGGGGATACAGAGGGGCCTCCAAGTGCCCAGGGCTGTGCTGTGGGCACCACCGATGCATACTTCATGAAAATACAGAGTAATTAACATTATTTTCTCCCTGCGTACGGTCTTTGTCTCCGGTCCATGTTGTCTCTCTTACAGGCACCCAGATCCACAGAGGTGGACTGATCCTCCCTCTCGCCGCCCCCTGCTTCCCTCCCCAGCTCTGGGAAACAGGCCAGAATGGGAGACTTGGGAAAGAGGAACCCTCACAAATGTCCACAAACAAATTTCCTGTCTGTGCGGAGCTGCCAGAATGGCAACGAGTTCCTCTGACAGGCTCTCTGCATTCCCGCCCACCACTGGACTCTGGCCAACGAGGTGGGGAAAGCTGCCAAGGCAGAGAGAACCCTGAGGCTTGCACAACACAACACACGGCGTCCTACCAGCCAGACAACTAGGCAGAGTAAGTGAAGGCAGCGGGTCAGCCCCCTGCATTCCCCCTGACAGACACTCGCTGAGCCAGGGAGACCCTGAGGGTGCGGGGCTGGGGGGAGTGGGAGATCCCCAAGGGGCTGGGGGGCGATTGTTAGATTGATGGGGGGAGTGGGAGATCCCCAAGGAAGTGGGGGATGATTGTTAGATTGATGGGGGGGGGGGGGAGGTCGCAAGGGGCAGGGGGGGGGGGGGGTGGTTGGGGGGGGGGGGGGGGGGGGGAGTGGGAGATCCAGAGCCATCCTTAGGCATACGCAGAATACATGGCTGTTCTGCGTAGGGCATCTAAAAATTTTGGCCACCACTGGGTCTTAGTGTCCACCCCTTGGCTCTTCCTATCCCTGTTCTGACCCTTCCTGCAAACTCCCACAGCTGGCTGCTGCAGCCTGGTGACTCTTACTCCGGAGGGGATCTAGTAGTAAAAAGTGAAAAAGCCTCCAGCCTGCCAGACCTATTAGCACAACACTGAAACTGTTAAAGAGCCATTCAAGTGGTAATGAAGCCATTTAACAGGCATTTGCCAAACCCCAGGTATATACTGTCAGTTTCTGAATTTACTGACAAAAACAGTTGTGCGTTACTGTAATGGTTCTGTTGTAGAGCTCTGATGCATGCCCTGGAATATGGGATGCGGGGCTATTGCAGATTATGTATTTCTTATGCCACCTGATCTTAAACTGAATTTTGCACCCCCTCGATAATCTGTACGTTATTCCCTGATCGCCAGAAACTTCTATGCCTAAACTCTGTACCGTACCCTTTTTTCTTTTTTTAACATCATCTTAATAAAAAGTTTACATTTACTCAGAACATGTTAGTCTTCAAGACCTTAGTTTAAAATTTGCTTTAAAATATTTCATTAATGAGTTGATGAAGATTATGAAATCACATCTCTAAAAAATCCTTGCATAGACTTTTAGATGCACAATCATATTTAGCCTTAAATGCTTGGATCTTCAGACATATGGTTTTTTAAATAAATCCTTCAAAAACCACCCTTATCTAAAATACACATTTTAATTTTAATTACTATAGTAAAAAAAACTTGCTTCCAAAGTCTTCCTGTCAATCCCTTTCTCCCTCTCCCCCCCCCCTCCCCCCTCCCCCTCGCACCTTGAAGAGAGCCCTTAAAGGGACAACAGCCCTTTCCTTCCAGATAGCTGGACAAAGAGTTTCCCTTTCTTTATTTCTGACTATCTGATGAACTAGTTTTAAGAACCCTCCAGCAAAATCAGTACCTTAGTAAGATATAAAATCCTTTGTTATGCCTAAAATCTTTGGAAACATATTTTTTCAAGTTGGTGAAATTTCATAAACATGTGTATTGGTATGGAGATCACATAAAGTAAATGAGTGTTCCCTTTTTCTAAAAGCAATGAACATTGTTATGAACACACTAAACCTCTGTGACTGATTAATTTAAAATAATGTCTTTGTTTCAGTGAGTTAAATATGTAGTAATCTGGAATGATTACTTTATGAAGGCTTAAGAGTACATTTAAAATATAAAAGCAATTTAGAAATACTGATTAAGAAAATGTAAAACAGAGAAGAGCTGCATCATGTATTTCATAATATTTAATGTTGTATTCAGCAAGACAGCTGACTCGCCCTTACTACAAAGTTTTTGCAAATAAATGTCCGCAAACTTCAGGGCATATCAAAAAACCTGTGACTGACATTTTTTATTCCCAAGTTTAGTGCTTGTACTTAGGTACCTTCTGCATGTCCATTCTGCGTGAGGAAGAGGGTATGGGGGTCTCTGTGGGGAACTGTGACTCTCTGCCACCGTGAGGTGGGCCGGGCGTCTCGCTATCCTTTGCTGCCTCGTTCCTCCCCCCGCACCCTCCCACCCCCGGGCTGTGAGCCCGGGCTGCCATCAGGCATAGGGGCACCAGTTTAATAATACTGCATAGGGCCCCATAAATCCTAAGGACAGCCCTGGGGAGATCCCCAAGGAACTGGGGGGTGATTGTTAGGTTGGGGGGCTGGGGGGAGTAGGAGATTCCCAAGGAACTGGGGGGCAATCGTTAGATTGGCACTTGCATCGTGGTAGTTTTGAATCCATCAAGAGTCCTGAACAGCAGGAGTCAAAATGCGTCTCTGCCGATTTCCCTCTCGCTGTGTCTCTCTGAGTCCATCATTTCATTTCTCCTTCCATCCTCCTTATTCCCCTATGTGCTTCTCTCTTCCCCCTCCCTCTTTCTCTCTTATCTTTCCTCCTCCTCCTCTGCATCAGTCACTCTATCCCTCCCTCCCATAGGGAGCTCGCCCGGAGATCCCCATGGTGAGCACAGCCTTGGGATCTGGTCTCCCAAATACTTTGTCCCTCCTTCTCACTTTTTGTCCTTCCCTTTGTTTCCTTCTCCCTCCCTATCGCTTTTCTACTGTATCTTCCCCTTCACACCAATTCTGTTTTCCCCTCTCACTCTCTCTCTTCCTGTTGTTTCATTTCTCACCCCCCCCCCCCCCCCCCCCCCCCCCCCCCTCTCTCCCTTTTTTTTCTTTCCCCCCCCCCCCCCCCCCGCCCCGCATCTCTGTTTGGTTCTGTTGTTCCCCAGGCCCTGCTTTCTCCCAGCAAATGGGGAGTGTCCTCCTTCCCTGCTTTGGCCTCCTCTCTCTAACCACGCCCACTCCCTTATCCTTATCCCCTGGGATTTCTTCTCCCTTTGCTAGGGCATTCCACCCATGTGCTTGGCATGAAGCAATCTTTGAGTGTGTCCATGCTCCTCTCAGAGGTCTGACTGCAGCGCTGTGGCATACCCGCACTAGCTTTCATCGAGCTAGTGTGGAACAAAATTGCAGTGAAGATGTGGCAGGTTTCAATGTGAGCTGTCCAAGCCCGCCCTGGATCCTGGGGACCTACTTGTATTGCTAGTCCACCAGTCTTCACTGCAGTCTACCCAGAGCGGGGTTACTCATGCCATGACCCCTTCCCCACTCCCCGAAGTCTGCAGCCTCATAACTTCCAGGTGCCTGGGACGTGACAGGGGCCAGGATCTGACCTGCTGTCCCCACAGAATGCAGCCACAGGACTGGCCTCATTAGCCCCTGCACTGCCTTTCAGTGGAGCCTGGGATTCACCCCTCCCCCGGCTCCTTCTGGAAACCCTAAGGGGTAAACCATTGGGATCATTGTACATCAAATATCCATGGGACTTCTCCCTTGGGATCCCATAGCAAGCAGGCCCCTAGGATCTCCCTTGGGATCCCCCTAGTGAGCTCATCCCTGGGATCTCTCCCCTGGGATCCCCTTGGCCAACAGGCCCCCGGGGTCTCTCCTCTGGGATCCCCTTAGAGAGCAGGTCTCTGGGGTCTCTCCTCTGGGATCCCCTTAGAGAGCAGTTCTCTGGGGTCTCTCCTCTGGGATCCCCTTAGAGAGCAGGCCCCTGGGATGCCCATAGCAAGCTCACCCTTCCCTTATAGGCTATTTGTCTGAAGAGATTCCCCAGCTAGGAAGGAGTCAGCTGTCCCATTCCATTGACAGGAGGCGGAGGATTCCCCTCTGCCTGACTGCTGCAGTGGGGAGCTGCCATTCCCCTGCCCCTGCCTCGTCCTGCTGCTGACCCCAACTTTCCCGTTCTCTCCACAGCTGGCACCAAAATGGCAGCAACAGTGACAGAATCCGGGGGGGTGAAGGTTGTCACAGAGGTCGTCCCGCAGACCGACCCCCGGGCTGCACAGCTGGACTCAACGGCACCACAGCCCAGCTCGGCCCAGGTCAAAGGCTTCAGGAAGGCACAGCCCAAGGCGCTGGGGGTGAGGGTCTGACATCTCTGCTGGACGAACGAAGGAGAACTGAGAGTGACCCACACACACACACAGTGCACTTAGCGAGGGGCAGCTGGGCCCTTCCCCTCGGCTCTCTAGGAGACTAATGGACTCTCCTTGCCTTCACTTGCAAGGATGCTGTGGGTGAAGCCTAGAGAAGCAAGAATTAACCCTTGACTCTGTGTGTGTGTGTGTGTGTGTGTGTGTGTGTGTCTTAGAACTGGAACGTGCGCCCTGCACATTCAGCCCTTGCCTGGCTGCTGAGATGGCCCAACAAGGGACCCAGCTAGCGCCAGCTGAACTGTAAGCATTACCCCCACCCCCCCCACTGGATGGTCACGTAGCCCCTTGCATCCCTAAAGATGCAGCCACCTCTGGGGTGACGCACAACAACTGTGCCACAGCCATATGCAAGTGAAACAGCAGGAGGGAAATTTGGGGAAGGCAGTGTGTAATTACATGAGCCAGGATGCCAGATCTAGCCTCCCCTTTTGGCATCTTAAAAGACCATGAGTGACCTCAGTTTTATCTCTGCTCCAAAAGGCAAGTGCCTCACTTTCCCTAGGGAGCAGGTCTGGAGCTAACCCCAAGTGAAGAACACCCCTATTGCATCACCAGCCTCCCCTGGTGCTATTAACACAGCCTGAGCCCCATTTAGCTGGCGAGAGCTGGCAAGAGCACACCACAAAGTGCTACAGCTGCAGGGTTTCCTAGCTTAACAGCTCCCTGGCATCCAAAGGCATAAACATCTCCCCGTGTGCCCAGAAAAATGCTGGCCAGCCAGGCAATGTAAGGCAGAGAGGATTATCTCCATGGGAGGATTTTGGTGCCTCAACCCAGTTGATTTCCCCCATCTGCTCTCATTCTGCTGATAAGTTTAGGGTCTGGGGCTAACCCAAGGGCTGAAGCTGAGCGTGTGTGTCTCAGATACTGTGGGTCATCAGGAGACGAGCTCCTCCAGGAATGGAGGTCTGAAGTGGCGATGTGATGGAAAGTCGCAATTTGTTCCCCAGGCGGGGTGGGGGGAGAAAACAAAAATAATGACAATGGCAGCAGTGGGGATGCAGCTGCTGTTCATAACGGTACTGGGGATGGTAAAGATGATGGTTAGCATTGATGGCGGGGGTGATGGCGGTGATGATGTTGGCAGGGTGATGGGGCGATGGTGATAATGTTGGTGGGGGTGGTGGGAGTGATGATGATAATTACAGGGTGATGGAGTTGGCAGGGGTGATGGTGATGATGATGTTAACGGGATGATGGGGCTGATGACATTGGCAGTGTGATGGGGTGATGATATTAGCAGGGTGATGGGATTGGTGGGGCTGAGGGTGGGGCTGATGGCGGGGGTGAGGCGGTTGGTGGTGGTGATGATGTTGGCGAGGGTGATGGGGTTGATAGGGGTGAGGAGGTTGGTGGGGATGATGGCAGTGATGGGGTTGGTGGCGGTGATGACATTGGCAGGGTGATGGGGTTGGTGGGGCTGATGACATTGGCATGGTGATGATGTTGGCGAGGGTGATATGTTTGGTGGGGCTGATGGAGGTGATGATGGTGGGGGTGATGGGGTTCGCAGGGTGATGGGGCTGGTTGGGCTGATGGGGGTTGTCAAAGTTAGACTCAGGACTCAGTTTGTCAGACCACTCTGTTTTATTAGCACAGTGCTCTGCTAATAACACTCAGATAATGTGAGCACCATGCAAGATTCAAACAGTCTTATTTATACAGATAAAAGGGTGCGAACTAAACAAAGGGACAGAGAGAGCAAAATTGTAAAATTTGCCTGGGGCACAATATGCATATCCTGCTTCCTTATTAACTCTTATCGATCTAAGGCTAATGCTTCACCAATCGCCCTTAAGTGGAGCAATTGATTAACAGTTAATATCTGCTTTCCTGACACCTGGATTGCAGCATTTCTCATTTCTACTTAAAGGTACATACAGCATTCTTTAATTCATTCTATTTCTTTAATATAATTCATTTCACTTTCACAGGGTGATGATGTTGGCAGGGTGATGGGGATGATGGTGGAAGTGATGATGTTGGCGGGGTGATGGGGTTGGTGAGGGTGATAGGGTTGGTGGGGATGATGGTGGGGATGATGGTGGGGGTGATGGGGTTCGCAGGGTGATGGGGTTGGTTGGGTTGATGGGGGTGATGATGATGTCAGGGTGATGGGGTTGGCGGGATGATAATGGTGGGGGTGATGAGGTTGGTGAGAGTGATGGCGGTGATGGGGTTGGCAGGGTGATGGGGTTGGCGGGATGATGATGGTGGGGGTGATGATGTTGGCAGGGTGATGGGGTGATGGCAGGGTGATGGAGGTAATGATGTCAGTGGTGGTGGCTATGGTGATAACAGTGATGCCACAGATCATGGTAATGCTGCTGCACATATTGTGTATGTGACACCAAGCTCCATCTCCTCTTCCCCTCTAGGCCATACAGATCGTATCTGGTTTCATTCAGATCTCCTTTGGGATTGCCTTGATGATAACTGAATCCCCAGCCCCAGCCCTCACCGTGGCCAGCGGAGTCTACTTCTGGATCGGCTTGCTGGTAGGCACAGACAGCTCCGGGAGTGAGAAGCTCAGCCCTTTGATCCAGTTTCAGGGGCGTATCTCAACAAATCTGCTCTGGCATATGCCCTGGGACTGTGGCACAGAAGGCAGTGAGCATAGCCAGGCAGGCTTTCAGAATAACAGGGAGTGTGCTATGCACTGAGCCCTTGGGAGGGGAGGAGAAGATGGTGGTGACCCTGCAAACACTTTGACAGCTCCATCGGGCCCCCCATGGTGCAGGGTCACGGCATGCAGATGTGCACCATCCTGGGCCAGCATGCCATCATCAGCGCTCACACACATTTTGGGTTGCAGGCCTGCAAATGAGGCTCATGGAAACATGGGAGAGACCCCTGAATGCTGCGGCAGACTGGCAACCCTACCCCTATGACATTGCTCTACCCCAATCCTGTCCTGGATCAGATCCATTCCCCAGGCTGGTGTGAGGGAGGGGTTCAGTCTGCTAGATTTCACCCCCCAATCACCGCTGCGACAGAGAGGCCCCAGCTCGGGCAGGGAAGAACTCCTCTGGGGTACGATGGAAATTCACCCCTACATTCAATCAGGCTCCACTGTGTATACACCCCAGTCTGGGAGATGGTAGATCTTTCCCCCCTCTCTAGTGGCGGCACCCCATAAGACACTACTGAAACTGATGCAGCCATCAGCAGGGGACTAAATGGGCCCTTATTCTTAGATCGAAAGGCTCATGCGATTCTCTCTCTGAGTCCCAAGCTCAGGGTCAGTTACCTGTGCATATAGGCTTTAGGGTCCTGTCCATCTGTCATGGAGGCTATGTATCCAGGTGGTGACATGGAAGAAAAGCAAATCCCATCTGGAAAACTTCACAACCACCTTTCCATAAGGAAACACCCAGCAGATTGCACTGTGGCACCAGACAATGAACCTTTAGCTTCTGAGAACTTGGGAAAATCCCAGCTCCTCTGCAGTGGGATAAAAGGAGAAGGAGTCCCATGAGATGGGACTTGAGAGCCTGTGAGACCTCAATCCCACCATTGAACTCAGGTCTCTTTACACCTTGATCCTAGTGACAATGATAGAATATCAAGGTTGGAAGAGACCTCAGGAGGTTATCTAGTCCAACTCCCTGCTCAAAGCAGGACCAATCCCCAGATGGATTTTTGCCCCAGATCCCTAAATGGCCGCCTCAAGGATTGAACTTACAACCCTGAGTTTAGCAGGCCAATGCTCAAACCACTGAGCTATCCCTCCCCCAATCGTGTACCATCTTGTGGGGCAGGGCTTCCATGGTCCATAATCCTGTGGGGTTCATTCCACCCAGTTCCAACGTGCGTGTGATTTTGAGTGGGCTGGGAATCTGCCAATGACTCTTCCCCATTTGCTGTTCCCTGGGCAGCTCGTGTCCTCAGGATCCGTGCTGGTGGAGACTGAGAGAAGAGAAAGCATCCGGCTGGTAAATATCCTCCAAGCATTTTCGTTCATGGGAGTGGGACTGGTGCAGGGCTGCACTACAGCTAGCCACAGTGGTTGATGGCACCTAGGAGGCCCTACATAGCCTGGATGTAAATTTCAGAAGCCCTGAGCCTGCTTTAACTCAGGCCGTTTCTACATTGCAGCTGGGAGGTTGGATTCCCAGCTCAGGCAGACGAACATTCGCTTGCTCTGCAGCGTGGCCATGGCGGCATGGGTGGTGGCCCCGAGTACAACCCTGTCCAGGATCCTATGTACATACTCAGGTTACCTGGCTTGTGCCGCTATGGCCAGCACTGCTAGTTTTAGGTGCTAGCTCGAGCAGAGCTAGCATGTGCACGTTTACCTGAGCTGAGAGTCACGTCTTCCAGTTGCTGTGTAGATGGACCCTTACACTAGGGGCTGGGATGTGCAAGGGTGGCTTTAACCACATTTGCCCAACCCTCTCCATTCCTGCATCCACCGGAATGAAGATTTGAGCCCATGGACTTTGCTGGGAGTTGATGGGGCTCCAAGCCTCACAAAATGGGGCCCTAGGACTTTAATATCACAACTGCATAACAATATAGCCCCATCGCCCCCTGCTGGAACAGATACGCTGCATCCTCCAAGTCAACGTGCTCAGACTCTGTAGACCAGCACAGGAAGTCCATTCCAGACCCCAGAGCTCCCCAACGTAGGCCACGCAGCCCCAGCTGTTTCAGCCCATGGACTGTCGGCTCAGGTGCCTCAGCTGATTGGCCCGGATGTGGCAGTCACTCGTCCTCCAAACTGTTACTTGTGTTGTGTGAGAGGAACTAGACACAAACTGGCTGTCTGCCTCTGCAGACAGCAGAGCCTTTAGAGATTACACCCTTATTATAAACGTGCCATGAGGATGGTTTTGTAATTAAGGCTTTGGCCTGGGGATCTGGAGAGCCGGTTTCTTTTCCCAGTCCTGCCACAGATTTGACCTCAGGCAAGGCACCTAACATCTCTGTGCCCCAGTTCCACACCTGTAGAGTGGGAGGCGGGGGACAGGGGTTATAACAGTTCTTTCTGCCTAGTCTGTTTGGACGGTAAGACCTTTGGGGCAGAGACTGCCTCTTGCTGTGCCTGTAGGGCCGTCATTGCACTGGGGCGCTAATCTCGGTGAGTGCTGTAATGATGACAGATGTTGTGCCCTGCTCTCCTCTAATTGGCTGTGATTGATCCAGGTGAAAGTCTGCTACATTATCAGCGGCCTGGTCATCCTGGCCACCCTGACAGCTGTGATCATTCACAGCGTGGAGATCGGCCAAGACATCCCGTGGTGCAACATACATGAGGGCGGCAAAATGACCCCGCTGAACTGCTCCCAATCTGTCTACGTGGGTACCTCTTCCATTCCCCCCCTGCTCCTGCAACAGTCCACAGCCTCTTTGCAGGGCCTGACTGGGTCTAGCACTCCAGGGGACCTGGGATCATCCCTCTCAGGACCCACTGGCTCTGCAACATGAGAAAAGAAACTCAGCAAGGGGCAACGAATCCCTCTGTCCACCTGATTGGGGGTGGGGTTTCAATCAAACAAGAGGGGTGGGAAGCTCTAGTAGTTATTCACTAGACCAGCGTGGGTCAGGAGACCTCAGCTCTGTCACTGACTTGCTCTGCAACCCCACTCTGTGCCTCAGTTTCCCCATCTAGGAAATGGGGCTAATAGTGCCTTTCTCAGGTGAGTTGGCCATCATAATGTTTGTGAAGCCCTTTGAGAGGCTCAGATGCAAGCGGTGCTGCCAACTCTTGCAGATTTATTTGAGTTGAACAATATTTGGTGTTTTTCTTAAAGCCCCAGCTCCTGGACTAGGTTGATTAGTTGAGACTCTCAGCTGCCATTTAAAACCAAAAAAAAAAAGTAAGGTTCCTCCAGGCTTCTGGCTGTGGGGAACCGAAAGGCAAATAAAATGAACCCCATATTTGGGGGTGGGGGTTAAATCTCATGATTTTTACACCAAACTTGCAATTCTTTGAGGCTCATGATTTTTGCTTGCTTGAGATTAGCAATAAGTAGGGAGAGGTTAGGAACGGGCTCTTTTGTTAATGGGGTGCCTCCACAACAGCAGCATTGCCCCAGGGCTAGATGGGGCCCACACTGAGAATTGCTTCAACTCAGCACCCTGAGATTTAAAGAGACCCGTTTTTCCTTGGCCCACCGGTATAATGATACCATCAGTATGTAACCCGGAATGGGGACTGGATCATTCAGCTGTACAGCCTTATGGGAGGAAGCTCAGGAGTGGGTGTAGGGTCAGTGTGTGGGTGTTATGGGTCCTCATAGCACCTAGTGCACAGCAGGTACTTGAGAGCCTGGCTCTTTAGCTCAACCTGTAAAGACTCAATAGTTTAGTTCTAGGAATCCCCAGTTCAGTTCCCCCAGAGACTAGCCAAGGCTGATCCCCTACAATATAAAGTGAGTGCTTGTAATTTTAACACCATTTCCAATACACCACACTCCAGAGGCTCCAAGCTTAGTTCCTGGTGCACCAGCCAAGATGGCAGCCATCACAATGGCCGTAGTGAGGGGAACAGTACAGAGACTATGCTTTAATGCGGGGCCTTTGTGGGGCCCATATTGTGCCATGAGAAGCTGCCCCGCTTCCCCCCTTCCTGCCCTCCACCCTGTTGCCAAACCCTCCTCCCTCAAACACACTAGGTGGGTCACTGAAATCTACCTGGGACCCCATGGGTGTGACCTGGCCCACGGCCCTGCCAAAGCTATGAGCTTCTCTGGTGAGCTTCACAGAGCGAGTGAGAACAAGGGGCAGGAGAAGAGCCAGAGACAAAGGAGGGGCAGGGCGCTAGACTCTGAAACAAGACAGGCTCTGCCCAGCTCAGCCCTGGGAGGAGAAGGGATTCCCTTTGGTTGTACTGGGAGAGTCACTGCCTAATGCAGCCAATTTGAGTCCTAGTCAGTGCCATGCAGGATCCAACACATAGTATGTCTGGCCACTGGATGGCTGGGCCCCATTGCCATGACCTGCCCCCTATCAGGGCATGTGGCAGAGAGGAGAGCTCAGGCAGTCCTCACCCCCTCACTGTGTAGTAATGACACCTCCCAGCTGGGGCACAGGCCTCCCCCGGGATGAGGTGGCTCCGTGCACTGAGGTTGCTGGATGACTTCCCCTGGGCTTTCTTCCCCACAGATTCTGAGTCACGGGATTAACTCGATATTCATCCTGCTGTGCCTGCTGGAGCTGTGCACGGCCATCGCCGCCTTGGTCTACGGACACAAGGCCTTGAAACAGCAGGACTACACGCAGATGGTGAGGCTGGAGCCCAGAGACACTCCCTGCCCTCCAACCCTGGAGCAACCGTGCACACACAGTGCTCCTCATCTCAGGCCTGATCCATAGCCCATTGACATCAGCAGAAAGACTCCCCTTCCCTTAGCCCTTGAGAGACCTCCTGCCCCATTGCTCTGACAATGGAGCCACCAGCTGAGCCCCGTTGACGTCAATGAGGGTTTGTCCAGGGATTTCAGTGGGAGCAAAATCAGATCCCCTTGATCCCTTTCCTTGGGGAAAGGGGAATTCGTTGCCCATGTTGGATCAGTCCAGCGCTTTACCTCTATGTTGATCCACCAAAGGATTCTAACCCTCCCCTGGATGAACTACTGTCAGAAAAGGCGGAGGTGGGGAGGGGCCAAATGCCGGTTTTCGGTGTGATCCTGATGAGATGGGAAGGTTAATTCTGTTCTCTGATTATTCCCCAGGTGCTGTGATGGAGCAGAGGCCGGCTTTGCTCCTCCCACCCCCAGGTGCACTGAGAACATGATGGAGATTTCCCGCACTGGAGCCACAGTGACATGGACCCTTGGCCACTTCTTCACCTTCCCAGGCAGGACGGCAGAGGGAGCAAACTCTGAGCCCCAACATCTCCTGCAGCCCACCCTACCCCCCCAACTCTTCTGTGTCTAGGGGATAGGGGCAAATGCTGAGCCAGACACCACTATTCCTGAGCCCCCAACTGAGAGATGAGAGCAGCTTTAACGCTCAAAGTATCCGCTGACTTTCCCCACAAACTCTCCTGTCTGTAACCTACTGCAGCCCATGACCTCTCTCAGGACCCTCCTCACAGAATCCCCTCGTGGACTCTGACCCCTGAATTCCAACCCCCCCGAAATTAGGAGGCAGGAGACTCTGACTTTCTGCACCCCAAAACCCTCCCCTGATTCCTAAACGCTCCAGCCTGTATGGGGACGGTGAAAACAAACTGACCCACACACACCTTCCCTGGCCCCTCAAACTCGCCAGTCAGTAATGGGGGAGGAGCTGGAATGAGACTGAACCCAGGCCTCCCTCTCCCCTCAAATCCTCCTATGATCCCTGGAACTCTCTGCAACCAGAGCACAAGACAGTGAACTCCAAAGCCATCCTTCCGTCCTGCTCACGCCTCTCCCCCAATTCCACAAACCCTCCCGTCTGCACAGGCAAACAAGACGGATGGGGAAAACAGACGGAGTCAACAGGATTATGGAGTAGAAGTTGATCCATCCCTTTTTCTTGGTCTTTGTCCCCTGGTCCCCTCACACAACTTTACTGCACCAAGGCAGAGAGTCGGGGTCTGTTTAATTTTTTTTTATTTGTGTTGCAGTAAAGGAGTGCTGTAAGCAATGGGCTGTGGATAGAAGGTAACAGATTCGGTAACCAGATATAAACACTTCTATTACATGATGGAACATACAGGGCAGCATGTGATATATAAAAAAAAAAAAAAAAAAAACACTAGAGACATGACATCCTGATTGTCCCAGAACATAGCAGTGATGCCATGATCTCCATGTAAATGCCACATTCAGCCCTCAGTAACTCCTGATGTCTTGGGCTTCCACCAAGAACTTGGCCCCTCTGTCTCCTGAAAATCCTCACTCGTTCTCCTTTCATGTTGTATTATCCCATCCAGATCCCATGTTTTATGGACCAGCCTTTAGCACTTGACTTCTTTGCTGATTTCCAGGTCCTTAGAATGATTTCTTCAGCCATTGCTGATCCTCTCAAACAACATATTTCTGAGGGGAAGTCAAATCCTTAGCAGCCGTCAGGACTTGTAGAATAAAGGGCTTAGGACCACCAGGGTTACTGCTGTTTAAAATCACATTCACTCACCTCCTAACTTCTTCCCAATCTTCTTTGGTTTTATGGCAGTGGTCATCCAACTCTTTCACTCTGAGGATCATGTCATAAAAGAAAGATCTTCTCACTGATCTCCCTTCCCTTCCAGTATCCCAGTTGTCTTCCAGTACCCCACCACTCCCATTGCTTGGATCTTAAAATGTCTCATTCTGTAACCCACCAGGAAGGATTTAGTGCGCCACAACGGGAAAGCCACACCTCTAGGGCAATATAAATGTATCAGATTTCCTTGTTCCCTTCACAGCTCCAGCAAGAATCCACCTCTTGTCTGTTGCCAGGTTGATTCTACCGCGCAAATGCTAAAGATGCATTTTTATTTTTTTTTGCTATATTAGCCTGAGCTTACAGTATTATTATAACAAATGTTCCCACAGAATGTTATGTCTATCTACATCCCTATCTGTTCATTCAAAACCAAGCTTACCTCTCGAATTTGAGAAGTGTTCACTAGAGGTTAGAACCTTACCAGTCCAGATTCTGAGTGGTACTGACTAGAGCTAGTCAGGAATTTTTCAGCAAAAAAAATTTTTTTTTGGTGTGGAAATGCCAATTCACTGAAACCAAAACGGTTTGTGAGAAAAGGGTGGTTTCGAGGAACTTCTTGTTTTGAAAAATTTTGGGACAAAAGAGTTAGAATTTTATTTTTCAAACCAAAAAAAATCAATTTTTTCAGTGCAAAACTACTTTTTGTTTAGAAATTTAAGCTAATGATAGCAAAAAAAAGTTAATTAAAAAAGGTAGAAATCAAAATGAAATGTTTTAATCGACAGAAACAAAAAAAAAATTCAGATTTTTCAGTTTGCAAAATGTTTTGAGATTTTGACATTTCATCCCAATTTGGGCCAAGAAAATTTTCAAAATCTCAAACATTTTATCCAGATGGGATCCGTTTTCTACCCAGTTTTACTACTGAGTACTCAGAGTTCTAGTTCACTGCACTGGGCATTGCAGATATTCAGCGCTGCTTAGGGTCAGCTGTTAGATAACGACAGCAGAAAGTGTTATATAGACTGGATCAGAATATTAGAATTTGTCCCCTAGATCTTTCCACAGGAAAAATTCTGTTTTTAAATTTTCCGATTGGAAAACGTTGGTTTTCTGTGGGGCATTTCAAAACTAAAGCAAAAAAAACCCACACTCATTTTGTTTTGAAATGCCACTTTGAAACAAAACAAGAGATTTATTGTTGCATTTCAAAATGTAGATTTGAAATTAAAAATTTCAGTGTCTTTCAATTTATACTCTTTCATTTCAACTTTTGAAAACTGAAGAAATTGGGATGGTTACCCCCCACTCCCTTTTTTCACTTTTTCCAGTGAAGAAAAATGGAGAACAAGTTGAGAAAAGTAAAAATAAAATGAAACACTTGTTCACACTTTTTTCAGTTGTAAAAGAAATTACAAATTAAATAAAGTAGCACTTTTAATGACTTTTAAAAAAACTTTTCACATCTTTTCAGTTCAAAAGAGCTTTTCACTGTTTTAACTCTTCCGAGTTGGAAGAAGTTTAAAAAAGAGGGCAGGGGGGATTTCAACCACTTTTTTGCTTCCTCCATTGAAAAAAACAAAGAGGAGAAAGTCACCAAAAGAGGAACTTCCAAAACATCCCCAAACCCAAAGGAAAACTGAACTTTTTCAGTATCTGAAACAAAACAACATTTTAAGTCAAAAATGAAAGAATAAATGTGCCTTTAGCTGTGGAATGTCAACAAAAAGGCTTGTTGCAAAATGTCACTTCAAAATACCCTGGACATTGATTCCTTAGGAAACGCTTGTTTACATAAGGAAACTAACCAGAATAACTATTTCAGAATAGCTCCCCATCTGGACATTCTATTCCAGAATAAAAGCCACTTTACTCCAGAATGTGCTTCCAAAGTGGAATAACTATTCTGGAGTGAAATCACTTTTATTCTGGAATAGTGCATCCAACTAGTCTGGTCAATATCATGGTGCCGACAAACTGCAACATAAGAGAATCAAGAAAGTGGTGACAATGCGAACTGCTTAAACGGTTTTACATACACCAATACAGAGGTAACTGGGTGAACCTATCTGGCCTAGGTTATGTAGAAGGTCAGACTAGAATGGTCTAATGCAGGGGTCTCCAACGGTGCCCACGGGCGCCATGGCGCCCGCCGGGGCGTCTTAAGTGCTCCCGCGTACTGGCCGGCGGACAAGCATCCGCCGAAATGCCGCCGAGAAGCAGCATCATCCAGAGGCGTCGCCGCCGAAATGCCACCTATTGACGATGCCGTTTGTCGGCGGATTTTCGGTGGATGCTCGTCCGCCGCCACTGTCCTCTGTGGCTCGTCAGACGAAAAAGGTTGGGGAGCACTGGTCTAATGGCTCTTTCTGGCCTTAAAAACTATGAATCTAAATCTTTGGAAAATGAGGTCCATGGGACACACTGCCTTATTTAAACTGGTAAACGGGCAAGCGTCAGGATTCTGCTTAGAGCTCACACCTTTTATTATGTCAATCACACAATGAATGTCTTTTCTGCATATAACAGGGGTGGCCAACCTGTGGCTCCGGAGCCACATGCGGCTCTTCAGACGTTAATATGTGCCTCCTTGTATAGGCACCGACTTCGGGGCTGGAGCTACAGGCGCCAACTTTCCAGTGGGCCAGGGGGTGCTCACTGCTCAACCCCTGGCTCTGCCCCCACTCCACCCCTTCCTTCCCCCTCCCAAGCCTCCTGCATGCCACAAAACAGCTGATCGGGAAGTGCGGGGAGGGAGGGGGAGGTGCTGATTGGTGGGGCTGCCGGTGGGTGGGAGGCGCTGGGAGTGTGGTTGAGGAGCTGATGGGCTGCTGACATATTACTGTGGCCCTTTGGCAATATACATTGGTAAATTCTGGCTCCTTCTGAGGCTCAGGTTGGGCACCCCAGCATATAATCAGCACATGGCAATATTAGCATTAGCACTGAAGAGAATAACCGCATAATGCTGCTGTTCTGAACAACTGTGTTATCATTTCAGTATATACCAGCCTCTTCCCGTGCAATTGCCTTTTCAGATTAAAAGTGCTATTATTTTGTGAAATGCTTTGTTCCTCATTTTGCTACCTGATCATCACCTGGAGCTTGCACCCCTGACCTCCTCCAGCGCCCCAACACCCAGCCCCGAACTCCTCCCACACCTCAACTCCCCACTGGAGCCAGTACCCCACACCCTTGCCCCAGCCCTGAGCCCCCTCCTGTCCTCCAAACCTCTTGGCCCCATCCCAAAGCCCCCTCCACCCCAAAGCCCTCATCCCCAGCCCCACCCCAAAGCCCCCATCCAGAGCCTTCACCCACCATGCTCCAACCCCCTGCCTCAGCTGAGCCCCCTCCTCCACCCCAAACCCCTCATCCCAGCCTAGGGTGACCAGACGTCCCGATATTATCGGGACAGTCCCGATTTTAGGGGACTTGTCCCGCGTCCCGACCTTACATTGGTCGGGACGTCTGGTCCCCCTATATGAGGGGGACCGCGGCAAGCCGGTGCCACTCACCTTCCCTCCCTGGGCCCTGGGGCAGCGCGCAGCTGAGCTCTTGGCGCCGTGGCGCCAGCCCACGGGGCCCCCCGCCTGGCTGGCAGGAGCCTGCAGAGTGCAGCCCTGCCCCTGCCCCGGCACGCAGAGAGGCAGCGAGGAGGTCTCACTCCCCTGCGTGCTGCAGCGGAGCAGGACCTGTAGATTCCAGCAGCAGGCAGCGGTCGGCCGGGCAGAGAGCCCCTCCGCCCCCTCCCCTCGACCCGATCCTAGGAAGGGGCCAGAGGGACTGGGAGGGACCTGCCTGCTGGATGCTTCCTGGGAGCCGCTCCAGGTAAGCACTGCTGGGCTCACCTGGCCCCCTGGCAGGTCCCTCTGGGGGGGCTCCCCTCAGACCCACTGCCCTCAGGCCCCACCCTGACCCTGTTCCCTCAGCCTCCCCCGCAGTGTCCCCCTTGTGCCCCCCACCCTCAATCCACTGCCCTCAGCCCCCCGTCCCTGTTCCCTCTGCCTCCCCCACAGTCCCTCACCTCCCCCGATCATCTCACCCGACCCACTGCCTTCAGCCCCCCCGACCCTGTTCCCTCAGCCTCCCCCACAGTGTCCCCCTTGTGCCCCCCACCCTCAATCCACTGCCCTCAGTCCCTGCCCCTGTTCCAACAGCCTCCCCCACAGTCGCTGCCCCCTCCCCCCCCATCATCTCACCCTGCATGGATGTGGAAATCTGTCCCGGATTCCAGGCTGTCGTTAGCCCCTGGGGCAAAAGATCAGCAGAGGTTTCCAAAGGGAAGCTTGCAACCTTTGCTCAGACCCAAACATTTTCACTTAAAAAAATAAATAAATAAATACCCAAACCCATCCTGACACCCATCTGCTCTGTCCAGTTTTGCTGTTATCCCTGTTGAGGCCAAAGTGGTTTGAAAAATTAAAAATCCTTGACACCATTGTGTTGCCTCCCCCTGTGTTGCTCGTCAGTCTGATGGACCAGCCGATAATGAATAAAGATGAATGCCCTGGGAGCAATGTGTCAGGCAGACAGTTTGTGAAGTAGGAATGTGAATGCTGAAGCCCTCACAAAATGCAGAGGCTTTTCTTAACCTGAGAACTGAAAAATTGCCAGATACCCTGCATGGGTTTGAAAGTGACAAGAGCCTAGCGACTGACCAGAGCAGCATCAGGTTTGAAGTGACGAGGAGGGTCTGTGTCATGAAGTCTGCATTTCCACTGAGGACTCTTCCATTGCCAGGGTAGCGCTGGCGCAGGTCTGCCGCCCGGCACAGCAATGCTGAGAAGTGCCAGTGTAGACCCAACCCACTGCCCTCAGCCCCCACCCTGACCCTGTTCCCTCAGCCTCCCCCGCAGTCCCCCCTGTACCTCCCACCCCGAACCCACTGCCCTCAGTCCCTGCCCTACCCCAAATCTCTTCTTCAGCCTCTCCCGTCAACCCACCCCCATCGCTCCCCCTGCTGTCCCACCCCCTCAACTTCCCCCCATTCCAGACCTGCTCCCCTCTGTCTCATCCCCTCCAGACCCTGTCTCTCTCCCCAACCCCCCGACCCTCCCCAGCCCAGCCCCATTGTCTCCCCCACCCCACTCTACACAGCTCTCTACCCTGTCCCATTCATGCTCCCCTCAGCCCCTACCCTACTCTCCCCATCCCACTCCTGTCCCATCCCCCTCAGCCCTCCCGACTCTCCCAGTCCTGTCCCCCTCAGTTCCTCCACCCTGCTTCCCCTGGTCCATCCTCACACACCCACCGACTTCCTCGACCTCCCTCCCCCCAATCCCACTGCCTAGACTCACCCCCGTCCCACTCAGCACATGCAGGAAAAAGAAGCAATGGGCTTAAATTGTAGCAAGGGAGATTTAGGTTAGACATTAGGAAAAACTGCCTAACTGTAAAGGTAGTTAAGCACTGGACAAATTACCTAGAGAGGTTATGGAATAGCAGTCATTGGAGTTTTTTAAGAGGTTAGACAAACACCTGTCAAGGATGGTCTAGTGTTGTTATTACTCAGTCCTGCCTCAGTGCAGGGGTTTGACTAGATGACCTGTTGATATCCCTTCCAGTCCTACACTGCTGTGATTCACACTGAATTGCCTTGTGCCACTGTCTAGTAGTAGTGGCACACAGTTCTCGGACATGCAGGTTTATAAAATTGTAGTTAATATACAGTTTAGAGCATAGCAGTTTTAAAGCTCTGGTTCTGAATATGCTTTGTTGTAGGCAGAGCTAGCCTATAGTTAAGCAACCGAAAATTTAGAATGGGAAGTGTTGAAATGTTGGGAAGCCTTATAATTTTGCCAGTCTGGAACGAACATCCCATCTGAGGGATGGGGGCGGGGAGAGAGGAGAGTGAGACAGGACCAGGAAACTGGGACAAGGAATCCAGAGCGGTAGTGGGGGGCAGTTGAAATCAGATGAGGAGCTGGGGCGGGTTAGACAGCAATAGGATAGACATAGACTGGAGGGGACGGGAAGAAGGGTCTTTGACTACTAGAAACCACTCCATTCAGGAGCCTGGGATAGACCCAGGATTCCTGAGTTTCACAGTTCCTCTTCTGTCAGCAGATATCTGTGAAACCCAGTGGCAAAAAAAGTGTCTCATCCCCCTATAGAGCTGATCTATCACATATAGGATGACAACCTACTGCCTCTGCCATCACTTACTCCATTAGCTCAAGTGGCAGAAGTCTGTGCAGTGGATCTAAAGGTTCATCGGCAGGGTTGGAGCCATGCAAGTTTCACGATGATTCCACATGCCAGAATTTCTGGGGCAGTTCAGTTTTGATTTTTACAAAAAAACCTGGGGAAATGCATACAGAAATAGGGTGACCAGATGCCTAAATAGGGGAATCTCAAGCAGGAGCAGAGAGGTTATTTTATCTCTGTATTTGGCACTGGTGCAATCACTGTTGGAATACTGTGTCCAGTTCTGGTGTGCACAATTTAAGAAGGATATTGATAAATTGGAGAGTGTTCAGAGAAGAGTCACAAGACTGATTAAAGGATTATAAAACATGCCTTATAGTGATCGACTCAAGGACCCCAATCTATTTAGCTTAACAAAAAGAAGGTTAAGAAGTGACTTGGTTATAGACTGTAAGTATCTACATGGGGAACAAATAGTTAATAATGGGCACTTCAGTCTAGCAGAGAAAGGTAGAGCATGAGCCAACGGTTGGACGTTGCAGCTAGACAAATTCAGACTGGATATAAGGCATACCTTTTCAATGGTGAGAGTAATTAACGATTAACAATATACTAAGGGTCATGGTGTTTTTCTAAAAGCTTTTTCTAAAAGCTACCCTCTAGGAATTATTTTGGGAAAGTTCTATGTCTGTGCTATACAGGCGGTGAGACCAGGTGATCACTGGATCCCTTCTGGCTTTATAATCTCAGAACTAGGTACATCAATTCACATGCAAAATTCTCATTGAATTCAATAGGTGTCCTTGCCCTGTGGCTTGTGGTGCGGGCTGCAGCAGGGGCCATACAACTCCTCTCGCAGCTTCCTAGGGCCCCCTCTCATGGCTCTGTGCACCTGTGTCTGTCATTGTCGTCCTCTCCCCTCCCCCCGCCCCGCTCGCCCAATGTGTCCTGATATTTCACTCTTGCGATCTGGTCACCCTATCCCAGCCCCCCCCCAGAGCCCACACCCCCAGTGAAAATGGAAAAGTGAGCAAGGTTGGGGGAGAGCGAGGGAGGGAGCGGAGCCTCAGAGCAGTGGTGGGTAGGTGCAGGACTTCTGGGCCGGGGCAAGGATGTTCAGGTTTCTGCCATTAGAAAGTTGGCAACCCTACCTTTGCCTCTGATGCCCCTCACAAACATGGCGGACAGGGGGGCGGGCTCTTCGATGGTGCCCCTCACAACATGGCGGACAGGGCGTGGGCTCTTGAATGGTTCCCCTCACAAACATGGCAGACAGGGGGGTGGGCTCTTCGATGGTGCCCCTCACAAACATGGCACCTGACGTCGGTGTGCTTTGATTCTGAGCACGCGTAGATTCGGGAACGGTTCCTGTCGCGCGCGCCAATGACGTCGCTGGCACGCTGAGAGGGACGCGGCGGGAGGCTGGAGCTGGACACGTGGGGATGGAGCCGGCTCGGGGCGTCACGGCCAGGAGGCGGCTGCGGAGGAGCCGGAGGCTGCAGGCGCAGGGGCTAGAGCCGGCGCCCGAGCGATCCCGGGAGGAGCCCCTGGCTGCGCCACTCGGCCCCGAGGACGGGCAAGCGGGTGCCCCCGGGGAGCCCGGCCGCGGCGAGACCCTGGGGGTGGCACCGGCACCGGCCCTGGCCCTGCAGTGGCGGAATCCGGCCAAGAAGGGCAAGGAGGCGCTGGCGGTTCCCAAGGGGAAACCTAAATCCGGGCGGGTGTGGAAGGATCCCGGCAAGAAGCGGTGAGGGGGGAGGCCGGGCGCGAAGGTGGGATACGGGAGTGGGGAGCCTGGGGTGCGGGGGGGGCAGGAGTAAGACCATGGAGTGGGGGGGGGGGGGGAGACTAGGGTAGAGTTGGGGGTGACATAAGGAGGCTTATGGCGCTGGCATCTAGGAAGGCTTGTGACTTTCCCCATGATGTATTACAAACAGATGGAATTGGAGATGGGCACTAATGCTAAATGGGCACCCAGGATAACGCCTTTCCCCCTTGTAAAAGTGCTCTGGAGTCTGTTCCTGTGTGAAGCTGTCTTAATGTAAATGCTCCCCTCTGTGTGTTGGTGGCTGATGGGGACTTCTTTCTCTCCTCTCTTCTTCTTTAGGTTTTCCCATATGATTCAGGACAAGCCCCTCCGCACCTCCTGGGAGCGAAAGATGAAAGAGCGCCAGGAGAAGAAAATAGTCAAGGATTTTGCCCAGCATCTTCAGGAAGAAAAACAAAGGGCGCATGAGGTAATGGGACAGGATGGTGCAACACAGCTCATTGCCCAATTATCCCAACCCCGTGTGTGTGTGTGTGTCTCTCCCCTCCCCTGGACCCACATGTTATCACAGTGGTAAACTAGGCTCTAAGAGGAGGCCTGCAAGGGTTAATGAACCCCAAAATTTGATGGTATCCTGACCTTGGAATTGCCACCCCTCTGCCTGTTGTGATCAAGTAACCTTGCTGTACTGTCTCAGTTCTTTCACCTCTACGTCTCCAGGGCAGAAATGCCTCTCTCAGGCTATAGAAGTCTCCCCCATACACCCCAGCTCTAGTTCCCACCTCAGCTCACCTCTTGTTTGCCTCTAACTTAAGTGTCATTTTTGAGCCTGACCTCTCTCCTTTCCACCTCCCTCCTGTCCAGCGTCTGGGACCTTCCTTGTTGCCTCCATTGCTTGTGCATGCTGCTGCTTCAGCTCCACCCCGATCTTTGGCTCTCCTTCCTATGATTTCCCTGTGTTTCAGCTCTCCACATTAATGATAAATACGAGAGGATACAAATCTGAGGTGCCAAGCCTGCTGTGTCAGGATCTAAGCTGACCACTAAGAACAGCCTGGGCTCCAGGAGAAACTTCTGTATGGGGAGGTTGTTCCATATGTGGCGTGTGGGTTGTTTGCACCTTCCTCTACAGCATCTGGTGCGGGCTGCTGTCAGAGACAGGATATTGGGCTGGATGGATCTCACCTCTGATCTGGGGTGGCAGTTTGCATGTGCAGATACCTACTGCCATGTGCCGATCCCCTCACTTCTGTCCTGAAACAATTCCACTGGTTTTCTGTTCAATTCCTGATCCAGTTTTGTTTAAAAACCTGCCACATCCTAGCTCCAGGCTATCTCATGGACTGTCTCCTCTTTGCTTTAGCCACCTTCTCTCTTCCTTCACACCATGCAACTTAATTGTATTGCCTCTTCTTCTGACACCAGCGTCGCTCCTCTGTTGGATGGTAGCAAATGTTTGGGGCCTTGCTGGTTATTTTTCCAGTAGAGGAGAAATCAGTGACATAGACTGGGTATAATCTAAGTGTGACTTTGATGTAGTTATGCTATACATAGGTTTGGCAGAATTCAATTTTTTTTTTTATCATTTTGATGGATAATATGAATGTTTATTTTTAAACATTTTTTTGTTTTTTTATTTAAATGTTCACAATTGTATGAAATTATGGGGGAGGGGGGGTCAGACAATTATTTAGTGACAGTCAAACACTGAGATTCAAAGAGCTAAAGCTTTATGGCTGTTAAAACACACATTATCAACATCATGTCAAAATATGCAACATAAATAGCTTTAAATCAAACCCTAATAAGTTCTCAAGCAGCGTTTTTCTTACTTTGCCCATCTGTACCTTTCAATTACTATCTCTAGAAATATTTTTTCATCAATTTCAGCGTGTATGGTGAAATCAACATTTACTGATAAATATCTAATACTTCCAAGCTTACCCATACACCAGTTCCGGAACAGAGGTGGTCAAACAGCATACAGGGCAAATTTATTCTTCTGGGAATTTCTGAACAGCACTAGAGCCTGGTTCCCAGGGAGCAACTCTGCCCCCAGAATTGGCTGATCAGAGCAGTGAGCAAACTCTCCCACCATTGATGTGGCTTCCTCCTTCCCAGGATCACTGCTCCCAGAACCTTGCATAACCCAAAACTAAATGACCCAGCATGTCTGTCTAAGAGTCACACTGTTTAAAGGGACGGTCTCCAATTCCAATATGCTACACTTCAAGCCACTCCTTGGTCTTCTCTTTATCAGTCTGTAGGTACCTGCATAAGGAACAGAAATTTGATAATAGAGGGCTCTTTAATCTAGCAGACAAAGGCATAACAAGATCCAATGACTGGAAATTGAAGCTAGATAAATGCAGACTTGAAATAAAGTGCAAATTTAAGCTCAGACTAGATGATCACAATGGTCTTGTCTGGCTTTTAAATCTATAAGACTTGTGCACTAAGAAAAAGAATTTGGCCTGGTCCACACTAACCCCCCACTTCGAACTAAGGTACGCAAATTCAGCTACGTTAATAACGTAGTTGAATTCGAAGTACCTTAGATCGAACTTACCGCGGGTCCAGACGCGGCAGGCAGGCTCCCCCGTCGATGCCGTGTACTCCTCTCGCCGAGCTGGAGTACTGGCGTCGACGGCGAGCACTTCCGGGATCGATCCCAGAAGATCGATTGCTTACGGCCGGACCAGGAAGTAAGTGTAGACCTGCCCTTTGGGAAGGTATAGAACAGTGCCACCTGCTGGCACCACTCCAAGGAATTAAGCCCAACAGCTGGTACATAAGCTCCCTCTGGTACATAACACAGTAGCCCAACTGCTCAGTGGCACAGGTCCCCACAAACTCGTCACCCCAGTTTCCTGACGTTTACTATCTTTTCTGGCCCCCCCATTGGATACAGAGTGCAAAGCAAGGGGTATATCCTGCTATTCAAAGCCCTGTGTAGGAGTGTCTCTGGCCACCTGAGATCGCCTCTCCTTCCTGCAACTCCGATCCCAGCATTCCACTGAAGCAGTGAACTCCCCCCCCCCCCCCCCCCCCCCCCGTGGGAGAGGCTTATAAGGGAGGCAGAACTTCCATAGCAGAGGTCCCTAGATTATGGAGCTCTCACCCACTCATTGTGTTGATTCCCCTGTCCCCCAGGAAGGATCTCTACGCACAGACACACAACTAATTATTAAAGTACCTAGAGAGAACCTCACTGGGCCTGGTGCAAGAGCCTTCTCCTCTGCAGCTCTTGCCCTCCCTGTGCTCTCTTGCCTCGCTGATTCCATCTCTCTTACGATCTTTGCTGTGGACCTCTCTCACCTTTTCTGCCTCTTCCCCCTCTGCTCCCGTTCCTGGGCATGACTCTAGAATGCAGTTTCCCTGAATGGCAGGATATAAAATCAAAGCTTCACTCTGCTGTTTCTGCAGGAGAAAAAGCAGCGCCGGGAAGAGAACTTGAAACGACGCCTGGAGAACGAGCGGAAGGCAGAGATCGTACAAGTGGTGAGTGTCCTGGCTTTTTAGCATCTCCTGCAGGGAGACCCAGAACCCACCTTTCCAACATGGAACGGATTCATTTGGGGGGCTCCTCCTCCCGTACTCACTGTGTCCTGGTTGCTGCTCGGAAAACCATATTTGTGTTGAGGCCTGACACATGCTCATGTCAGATTTTTGTGAGTTGCTGGGGTCAACCCAGTTTCTCTCCCTGCAGAGAATGGTTCTTGTTGAGTGCCCACGGCAGGGACAAGAGAGTGAAAATGAACAGAGAGAGAGAGAGAAATCCAGATGGATAGTTGGAAAAACAGCCTCACACTGGAATCTATGAGCCTCTGGAATAGTCTTTTGTTGCGTGTGGAGCCCATCATTAAAACTGTTCAGAGCTAGACTAGGCAGAGCCCTGCTGGCCATACTTTAGGGAACAGCCCCGCTTTGGGCCCCGAGATGCATGACTTGCCCCAGTGCAGAGGTTCCCAAACTTTAACAGCCCGCGAATGCCTTTCACTAAACTGAAATCTCGTGAACCCCCTCCTAAAAATGAATATTTTCAGGGATTTAAGTTTAAATTTCCTCAATGTGATGGATGCCCCAACTGCCCGGCCCCGCTCTTCCTGGGGCTCAGGCTGCTAGCCCCGGGCGGAGCGCTGGGGTTTGGGCTGCCAGCTCCCTCGTTGACAGGGGCAGGGCTCGGGCTGCTGGCCCTGCTCTCCCTGGGGCTCGGGCTGCTAGCCCTGCATGGGTAATGCTGGGGTTTGGGCTGCTGGCTCCCCTGCTGACGGGGGCAGGGCTCGGGCTGTCAGCCCCAACTGCCCGGCCCCACTCTCCGTGGGGCTTGGGTTGTCAGCCCCGCACGGAGCGCTGGGGTTCGGGCTGCCAGCTCCCCCGCTGACCGCCGGGACTTGGGCTGCCAGCCCCAACTGCCCGGCCCCGCTCTCCCTGGGGCTCGGGGTGTCTGCCCTGCAACCGGCTCCCACCTGCTGTCTCCAATGCCCAGAGTCCTCTGTCCGCCACTAGTGAAATTTTTCTGGCGAACCCCCTGTAACGTTCTGTGAACCCCAGTTTGGGAACCACTGCCCCAGTGCTATGGGTGGCTGAAAACTTTCCACTGAAACTGTTTTTGACTGAAAATTGGAGGATTAACTTTTTTGTTGTTGTTGTGAGAACGGTCTATTTTTTCATTTGAAAAACTGAAATGTTTCCATTTGGAAAAGCTGCCATGGTGCCTCCTAGGAGTTGTAGTTGAGTTACCTCATGCTCCAATTCTTCTCTATGGGCTGCACTCCCCAACCAGACTACATTTCCCATGATGCATCACAGGCAGGACTGCCCATTATATACAGTTTCACGAAGGGACAGTGTGATGCATCATGGGAGATGTAGTCTGACCAGGCAGCCCAGCCTATAGAGGAGAAGTGGGATTATGAGGCACTTGAAATACAACTCTCATGAGATACCACAGCAGCATTTTTTTCTGACCAGCTGTCCCCAAGAGGTGTTTTGTCCTTGGTCTGTGTTGTTCCATGGCTGAGGTTCACAGCTTTTCTCTCTTGTTCCACCCCTGCAGATCCGGAATCCGCTCAAGCTGAAGCGTGCCAAGAAGAAGCAGCTGCGCCGGATCGAGAAGCGGGATACGCTGGCACTATTGCAGAAACGCCAGGCGCAGCGCAAAGAGGCCAAGGAGTGAGGCTGCTGCGGGGAAGGGGAATAAAGCCTCAGGGCAGCTGATTCTCTGGGGTCCATCTGTCCTGACACTGCTTTCCCAGCTATCCTGCCCACCGCCTCCTTATGCCTTTGCTGGGGACTCCCCATCACCTCTCCTCCCTGCTGTGGGCTGATCAGCCGCACTGAGTACACGCTGCTGGTTCACACGCAAGAGCAGGGGGTTATACAAACCCACAGTCTGCACGGCTGCTCTTAAATGGAAACCTGCATTGTCTTCTCTTGCACCAGTGAGGCAGGATGCTGCAGTCCACGGCGCTGGGAAGTGTTATAAGCCCCGATGGGACAGGGATGAGGTGTCCTCATACTGCCTGACTTGGGGCAAAAAAACCAAAGACCATGGCAGCTGAGCCAATGTGTGAACCGGAGCCCCTGGTGTTAAAGGCCCTGAATCCTCTTAAGCAGCACACACTCACTTGCTTGTGGAGCTGGTGGGAGCAGGGAGCTGCTTCTGGTGTCTGTCTTGGCCTGTGCCTCAATAATTTGATCTTCTGTTGGGAGGAACAACGTGGAAAAAGATTTGGGTTTGTAGGGACCTGGGTTGTGGGCTGGGTGCTGTCTGTTGCTATCTTATATTTTTAATGGGCTGTCGCCTTGGTCTGCGGTAAAGGACAGAAGTCCCAGCTGCCCAGAGTAGGCCAAGCTTCTCTCCCATCTATCTGCCTCTTCCCTAGGTTTGAGGTGGGTGTTTGTCCTTCTTGCCTTAGCCAATTGTTGGCCTTTCTGCTGAGACTAACAACGGGAGAGTGGGTTTTTATTTTGCTGGACTCCCATTGGAAGTCAGCCTGAGGTGACCCACTAACTCGTTGAAGAGGTACCTGGCAACAGCTAGGAGAGGATGATGAGGGTGGATTGCTCCCAACCACGTCATGGCTGTATGTGAGAAGGGATTTGTTGATCCATGCAGAAATATTGCTCTGGCCAAAGAAATGAAACCGAAAATACCAGCCAAGCCTGTGTCCTGTTCTCTCCTTTTCATCCAGAGGAATGTAAGGCGCAGGGAGTGTCCACAACAAACTGGTGGGGATGGCGGGAGGGAGCCAGACACGCTGTGCAGGAGCCATTCAGCATGGGGAGAAGGTTTGCGGCCCTGGGAGGAGCAGCGGGTATCCGTGCACTGCCCACCCCCACAAGTGCCATCCATGCAGCTCCCATTGGTTGCAGTTCCCAGCCAATGGCAGCTGTGGAGTCAGTGCAGAGGAGCAGGGGCAACGCGCAGAGCTGCCTGCCTGTCTACCGGCAGGGAGCCTGCCGTAGCCCCGCTGCACTGCCGGCAGGGAGCCACCTGTGGTAAGCGCCTTCCGGCCAGAGCCTACACCTCGCACCCCCCCCTGCACCCCAACCCCCAGCCCCGGGCTCATCCCCCAGACCCCTCCCACACTCCAAGCCCCTCAGCCTCAGGCCAGAGCCTGCACCTTTACCCCAGCCCAGTGAAATTGAGTGGGGGGAGGGAATGGAGTGAGAGGGGCAGGGTAGATCCTGGGTTGATCTTAAATTCAGAAAGTGATCTTGTGCGTAAAAAAAATGGACACCACTGCTCTAGGTAAATTCTAAGGGGACACAAGGAAGCAGGGGGGCTAGAGAAGAATGGGGGAACCTGTGTAAAGAGTGAATTGCTGGGAGGGGGCAGCATGGAGTTGAGTGGGGGGTAGATCTGTAAAAAGAAAGGAATGAAGTGGTGAGGTGGGCCTGAGGTGAAAGGAAAGGGGATGGTAGTGAGGATTAAGGCTGGGCATGAGGGACACTTAGAGGGGTGGCCAGACGTGTATCTGATAACAAGGCCTTTGATTGATCCCTCCTGCCAGGCCGTTGCCTGTAGCAATAGATCACCCCATCACCTACAGTTGGCAGCTTTCAGCTGCTGGACTTCTGCCTCCAGCCCTGCCGGGCACATCCTGTCACCTCGCTGCACCAGCAGGCCTAGCAACCCGCTGAGCTGCTGCATCCATCCCACAAGGTGAGTCTTGCAATTGCCGTAATAACAGGCCCGTGTGGAAGAGCCTGCCTGGCCAGGTTCACTATGGTAAATGGTGGAGCCCATAGCAGAGGGGCAGGATGTCCACTGAGGCTGAGCTGCTCCTTCTCCAGTGGGCGTAGGGTGGATGTGGCAGCAGCCACGGAGTTCTGCCCAGCCATGCCAGTAACCAGGGTTTGCGTCAGTCCCTCTCTCATCAGGCATTTACGTGATAGCAGGGTGTGTTTGGCAATTGCGTGGGTGCCTCTGTCCCCAGTAGATGCTGCACTGCCAGGGATCTGACTCCCCTGCCCTTGGGTAGGAATGGGCGGGCAGGAGCATTGGGGCGCTCTCTGGGAATGAATATGGGGCAGGAAGCACCAGAGCTGGGTTTTATTCCCAGTCCTGCCACTGAGCCGCTCATTATCTCCCTGTGCCTGGAAGGTCTGTAAAACAGGCCACCTCCAAGGCCCAGGAGGGGTTAATGAGGTGATGCTCTGACAGTCTAGAAGGGTTGAGTGGGAGTGATACACGAGACAACCCCGAGAAGTTCCCTCATGGACCTTGCGCCATGGAACAAATTAGGGTATTGGGCAAGTCCACAGGTCCTCTAACTAGGAGTACAATATCCAGTTGGTTGGCTAAAATGTCTGATATACCTGGGACAACAGGAACAGATGTCTCAACTGTGGTGGCAAAAGAACTAAATAACCCTTGCATGTTTGAGCTGAGGAATCTAAAAGGTTAGAAGATTCCTGAGACCAGGTTCAGCAGTTGCTCCAGTAGCAACTGGAATTTTGACTTAGGCCTGGTCCACACTACCCCCCCACTTCGCACTAAGGTACGCAAATTCAGCTACGTTAATAACGTAGCTGAATTCGAAGTACCTTAGTCCGAACTTACCGCGGGTCCAGACGCGGCAGGAAGGCTCCCCCGTCGATGCCGCGTACTCCTCTCGCTGAGCTGGACTACCGGCGTCGACGGCAAGCACTTCCGGGATCGATCCCAAAACATCGATTGCCTGCCGTCGGACCCGGAGGTAAGTGTAGACGTACCCTTAGGGAGAAGGTTCAGCTTGAGAACTCCACATTACAAGAGAAAAGTTTAAAGGATGAGCTGAAGATTAAAAAGCTGTAATGCACTTGTGATAAGCAATGGCTTGAAATATTAAGGGAGCAAGATTGCTGTTTAAGGAAAATGGCCACAAAGGCAGCAGGCAGTAAATGTGGTTCTGAACTCTCAGAACCAGCAGACTCTGGCTAACCATGCATATTGCCAATAGGAAGCAGCTTGCTTATAGGAAGAGCTGCAGGCTATGAAGGTAGTAAACAGTGCAGCTCAGGGAAGCAGTGCTGTAGTGAGCATTAAGAAAGTTGTGTGCAGAAAATTAGAGGAAAAGAATAGAGTTAGCTCTCATACAAGTTCAGAAAACTTTTCTGAACTTCCCTATGGAAGTAATATTGAAAAGAAGTGAAGTTTTTCTGATTCTGTAGAGAAACAATGGGTAATAGAAAAACCAGAGTCATGTATGACTTGGAAATTAGTGCATGGAAATCCTGAATTGACTCGGGATGGGAAGGTACCGTAGAGTGTGATATAACACAATCTGAAGGAACGTTAGTGTTACAATTTGGCTTAACAGTGAAAACAGCAGAATGTTTAATAATTCATATACTGCTTTAAACAATCTAGGAAAAGTTGTAGGTGAAATACAGAAAGGATGGCCACCCCCAAAGAAAAAAACCTCAAGGGGCATTGCTGATAACTTTCCCCAACAATGGGCCAGAAGGAAAAAAGGAACCAGCAAAATAAACAAAATAAAGGGGAACCAAGGAAAGAAGACGGCAAAGATAAAAATCTTGCCCCTTGTGAAAAGAAGAGAATTTCTGATCTGGGTAGAAATTGGCTTTGGAGAAAATTACTACAGTATGAGCCTAGGGATCAGATTGATAGGCGACCCACTGAAAAATTGCTTCTGAGATGGGCAAGTCATGAGAAGAGCATACCTACGGTTCCCCCATGCTCCAAAGACCAAGTATAGGCCTCCCTATCTCCCCAGTGTCAGCAAATGATCATGCTGACCTAGTGGCACATTTAAAACGTGATGAATGGGGAAGACCAACAGTATATGTGGTGATTAACACCAGAGCCTTCAAACAAAATATGTTAGTAGACACAAGTGCCACTTTTGGTACTGGTAAAAAGAATTTATTTGGACCACCAGTAGCAATAAAAAGATTGCAAGGATGTAATGAAACAGAAAGTAAAGTGCCATTTAGCTAGCCAATATGTTTTTGGTTAGGAATAAATCAAGGAATAGGACAATTTGGCCTGATAAATTTGGATGGCAATAAAATAATAGGAATAGATATGTTGAATAATAGTAGCCAACTAGTATTAATGGGCAAAGTGAATGCTCATAGGAGAAACATTGAAAGAGCTCAGTAGAATAGCAAGGCAGATGAACAGGCTAAGAAAGGAACCAAGGAGGGGATAGTATGGCAGCCACAATTCCAATCAACCCCAATGGCAAAAATAGAAGAAGAAAAAAAGATAGAACAAATTGATTTAGTAGTGCTACAGAAAAGGGATCCTGAAATTGGTAACAAAAGAAAAATATCAGGGATGAAAGATTTGGCAGAATGAAACCAGAGTAGTGTTAGCTACCGGATTAGTGTTAGCTACCAAAACAGAAGATGACATGTTTGTATGGGTTGTTCCAACAGAAGTTAGATCTGAAATTATAGCCTTAGTTCATACTAAGGAACATTAGGGATAGATAAAACTCTTAGCAGGCTATAGGATGTGGCCAAGTATCAGAACAGATGTGGAAGAATATGTAATGAAGAATATGCGCTGCCAATAATGCAGATACCAAGATAGTAAAAGGGCCATTGGGACATCAAAGAATAGAAGGCCAATGGGTCAGGTTACAGATTGCTTATATTGGTCTGCTTGCGAAAACTGCAAGAGGAAAACAGTATTGCCTGGTAGTATTGGATCCTTTTATAAAATGTGTAAAGGCTATCCCTATGAGAAATAACAGCTTTAA